ACTTTGTCCAAGAAATGTAGAAATAGAGCCCAAATGTCCAAACACAGTGCTGGGAAAGAAGCAGGTGGGGGGTTTTAATATGTACTTCACTTGTAATGTTTTTAGCTTCCAAAACTACGTAGAAAAACTATCACTCAGGTGCAGAATATCAATGAATTAACAAAAAATTGGTCTGATTCCTTTCAGTGAACATCAATGAACTTTGTGCACAAGGCAGAAGTGGTAGGTTGTAGTTCGACTTTTTAAGATTTTTCATAGTATCTTACAAGATACTGTCACAGCCAAGTTAAGGAAGACTGGTCTAGGCAAAAGGAGACAAATATGGGGCTTATAGTGGGTCACAAACTATAAATGAGTCAATGTCTCACTGTTGTGAAAGAGGCAAATGCCATACGGAATACACAAACCGCACTATAGTCCACAAAACATGTTAAATAATCCTTCCCGCTATTTAGCACTAGTAAGGCCATGTGGAGAGCTACATCCAGTGCTGGGAAAAGTCTGGAGGAGGACAAAAACATGCTTTGTGAAGGAAGATGGTATTATGTGGTCTGGCAAAAAGTCTGATGGCAATATCATGACAATCTTCAAAAATGTGAAAGCCTTCTGAAAACAGGAAATGAATCATCTATGCTGTATGGCCATGACAGACAGGAAAGCAGCAACAAGACAGACATGAGGAAAAGTTTTCTAATGATAAAAAAGTATGGGGGATATTGCCTGAGAAGTGGCATATTAAAAAGCAAAACAAAACAAAACAAAACAACAACTAGATACAACTGATCCTGCCTTGGAGCTGTACAGTGAATCGCCGGACTCCCTACGGTCCTTCCTTCCTGAACCTATGTTTCTACGCTTTTCAAACAAGATGAAATACTTTATTTGCTTCTTTTATCCTGTTCCAGAGTTGACGTGAGAAGAAACAAGCAAATGACTTCTCCTTTGTCTGTCAGCCAACTGAAATAAATTCAGTGGAGCCTGCATGGCTTAGTTTCCTCCATCACGTGTGTGTTTTAGTATTGACATTGATGACCACAGGAGCACACATTGTTTTCCCTTCTGTTTGGTTGCCTGTGTACTGGAGATAGAGCTTCTCTTCTAACAGATTGTATCAACACCAGTTTCTGTTTCTTTCTTCTATAATATCAGTGAGGAAGTTGCATTCAAACATATTTGTTAGGTTACTAAATATTTCTACCAGTAATAAACTAGTAAGCTAGTTGTAGTTCATGACCTAGACCACCAAATGGTTACGGTGAAGTGTGGTTTACATAAATAACTTGCCACAAAAATGTTTCCCTATAAACTGTCTGAGCACAAGATAACAAATTATCATAGAATAAATCTGACTCAGGGTCAGAAATGCCCCGCAACAATATATCCCCCTAAGCATCATGTTATATCCATGCATTTATCTTCTACAGGCTCAACCATAATGCATCACTGATTTCAGCAATAGCCCACTCTTGACATGCAGCATGGATTTTTTTTTTTCTGGCAAGGCTTTCATAGCTGAGCAGACTTTACCATGATCAGCTCTGCCTTATAGACGTTTTTAACCAAACTCATCATTTTAGTATCACAGTACCCTATATCTTGCAAGAATACATTTGGCATAATGCCTGCAGCCAACTCCTAAGTTTAAAGTTTTCCTCCCCCTAAGATTGAAAAAAAAGTACTAAGTACATCTCTCAGCTTTTAGCACTTCGTGACTGTGCCAGCCAAGAGCTGGCAGTCACATACTCTCAGCCACCAAAATCTTCAGTTGTCCAAAGGCTTTCTCTCATCATGCATCAAGTGCTGCCACCAGAGCCCATAGCCTTGGTCTCCCTACCTTGGTTTCAAGAGTGTGTGGGTGTTCGGGAAGCTGAAAGAGGCCACATGAACCACTCTGATAGGAGCAGCCTGCTCCTACCCACCCTTCTTCCAGCTATTGCTCAGATCTCTGCAGCAACAGGCTGCAGGCACAGAAGCAGCATGCTTCTTATAGGTGTCTAAGTGTTCCTGTAAGTGTGTGTGCGTCAGAAAATACAACGCTTCCAGGAAACAGTGAACCTCGTGTGCATATGTTGCACACATGGTCTGCACACGTACAGCAAATCCAGCACTCCTGGGAAGGGATGGAGCGACCCTTCTGGGACAAGTCTGCTGCTTCCACGCAATAATGCCCATCTTACGATGGGAAGGAGCTGTCTAGTGTTGGCTCCGTTTGACCCGTAAGATGCTGGGTGTCTTCCTCAGCTGGAGAAGCATAGCATCAGTGATGCACAAAGTGAAGGCCTGTTTGGTGTCAGCCATTAACACTGTGGACATAACCGTATGTCATTTGGGTTCCTTCTCAAGAAAACTGCCAACCTGGGGAGCCCTAGTTGTTGTTAGGAGCGTGGCCAGTCAAGATCAATATTAGAAAATTACCAAAGAATTGTTCACAGCAGACTAACAGGAACGTAACTGCCGCTGGAAAGGCCTGTCTCCTGAAAATGGCATTCCTAGTATTTAGGAGCTAATAAAAGGTTGTCATTTCACTCCATTTATCAAAGAGCACTGACAGTACAATAGCTATGCTGAATGTTGCTTTGAAATCCTCTTGTTGAGATTTCAAAGGTACTTCAGCAATGCTAATATACCGACTTCTTTTTTCCACAGCTTCAGAAAGATGATAAATAACAGCCTTTGTATTAAAGAGCAACCAGTTTACACAAGATCACACAGGAAGTTGTGGTGAAGCTGACAATATTCACAGATTATGTCCTACTTTGTTACTTTCATCACAACATGCTTTCTCCTTACTGATTGTCTACTGACTACATCATATGATGATCATGATAGATATGATGGCCCACACCGAGTGGTACTTAATAGCCTATTGTTCACTCAGTTCTGTTACACAATAAGTATACGTCTGCATTATATATTTATTGCATTGCATATTTATTGATCCAAATAAATTAATAATAGAAACAAGAAACTAAAATTACATTGGTTGTTTAAACACTCCATAAACTACTTTTGCTTTAAAGAAACTGTGCTAGGTACAGGCACCTGTAGCATACTAGATAACATTAGACACCATGTGTTTCAAAGGACATGGTTATCCACAACCTCTCGTCCACAGCCCTCACTGTAATTGTATCAGCCTCTTCTCAATCATCAGTCTTTTTGATAGGACAGGTTTGCAGCTTTTACATCCCTGAGTTGGCTAATGCTACATATACATTCATTCATTCATTTACAGGAATCGATAGCATCTGCATTTCATAAGTACAGTTAGATACTGATGGTACAGGCTTTTAACAAGCAAAACTGACATTGTGGTTACCTGTTGATGACCACCTCAGAAAAGGAAATCATTGAAAGGTTATCTTATAAAAGAAGTTGATGCAAACCATAGAAATACTCTGTCTGGATCAAATTTTGCCATCTTAGATGGTATGAGTGATTTGACTGCCTCATGGACTTGAGAAGGATCCCTGCACTTATAACCCAAAACAAAGTTAATTGTGTTGATTTTTGTATCTTGCCCTATAGCAATCCTCAAACATTTCTTAAAACCTACAGGCCAAAAGAATTAAAACTCCATTTTTGCGTATCTTCATCGGTGTCCAAGGAGAGCCTAGGCTTAGTAGACATGCTGAGAGTACGTGTAGCACCTCATAGCAAAAGAGGCATCAACAGCAGCTAGGAACACTTTTATCCAGAAGTATGGCTGGAAGGATTGTCATCTCCTTAAGCAACAAAAAATGTAATGTTTATAGCACCTACGATGTAGAGGGTGTGGCAGGTGCACCCGCCCTGACAAAGACCGGGGGCATTAAGGCGGCTGCGTCCTCACTTTTCTCGCCCTTGCTTTTGCGCCTTTAAGGTGGCAAGTGCCGACTGTCAGGTGCACACCTTGGGGCAGTGATTATGGTCAGGTATACACCTCGGGCGAGGGGTAAGGAGGTCGAGGCCCTCAGTCAACCAGAACCGACCACAGGTATAAATGGAGCCCCGCCGGAGGGCAAGTGGGGTTGGTCCTCTTTGGAGCAGCGGGTCTGCAGTTGGGGACTCTCCCCTTGGGTCGGGATGTCGCCCAAGGAAACTCCTCGAGGTTGAGAGCCCTCATCTTACAGGTGAGTGATTGTGCACATTGTGGATCCTCGTTTCTAAAGCCGGCTGTGCAGTGTTAATTCCTTGTACACCATCTTCAACCTGTGGTTTACTGATGTTGTCAGAGTGTTGATGCCTCATTTATAGTTAGTTTTCTCCTAAACAATTTTGGTTAAAATTAAGTTTATTTTTTAATTTATCACCTGCCTAATTTGATTTTGTGAGCCTCTGTGGCAGAGGGCATAGACCTTTGCCTACCAGAGTTTCAAATCCTCACCTCTGAATACATTGCTATGACCACTTAGGAGTCTGTTGCTTTGAGGGGGTAGGAAGTGAAAGGTAAACCCTGATTTCTACCCTCCCAACCATTGCAGCTGGGCAATTTCATGAAAAACATGAAACAGAAAAAGAGAAGATGAGCTCTTTAGTCATAAAACCAGAACTTCTGCTCACAAAAAGTGAGCTGGGTCCAAGCCCCACTCCCAGGACTGTAGCATGCATTCAAACATTCAAGAACCAGGGCAGACTGCACCAGAACACAGATTTCCCCCTCCCCAGACACACGCCCTAGCTATTGAATGATATTATGTTCCCTCTCCGCGTCGCAAGGCATCTTGTGGTTTCCTCTTTTTTTTTTTTTTTTTTTTATTATTAAACTGAATGGGGCATTTTTTGTGTGAGCTGTGTGAATGGGCCCTATCGGCACTTACAGGTTGGGATGGAATAACGGTGACCAGACAACAAGGGCAGAACAAAGGGAGGAAGCGTGAACGCTGTGAAGATACCATGCGAGCGTTGCACAACCACTAACCCCCGCCCCAGAGGGCGGCAGTCCCGGTGGGCCCGCAAGAAACAGACCACCAGGAACCTGCCCTGCCAGTACCAGGCCACCAGCCCAGAGAGACACGAAAATGAGTCGGCGTTACTCGGTCCGCAGCCAGCAACGCAGCGGCTACTGCGTGCGGATAAGGATACAGCTATGCCTACACCCGACAAAGCGACCCTCTGAGGGAGATTCCTTACACCCGCCGGGGTACGCGCAGGCAGGTCGGCGCTGCCTGCCG